GTCGAACCCAATACAATAAATGAGCCACAAATAGAATGAAATGTTGAGGACACCTACTTCTACAGATAAGCATCTGCTGAATTTTCAATATTTCCTGCATCTTTGCTGCTTCGCTCTTCGTATTCCGACTGGTTAATTAATAGACTCAATTGTGCAAAAATTTGCAATTTTTAGCCGTTATGGAAAAAATGAAAAGTTCAGAGTCCATCCAATACTACAGTACACCATTTTACACTTTCTTAAATTTATTTCATAAATTCCAAAGATTGATAATTAAGGAAAGTTTTGGCTTTGTCAACTGTACGACTAATACCATATGTTTTTCTTTCTCACATCATTCTCTCTTCATATAGCAAAGATTCTGTTAGGCATAAATGTTACTTTTCAACAATTTCTCATTTTTCTTTCTTTACATTTTAATTCAACTTTCATTAAAATATTTGTTCTTTGTTATTGGGATATTTTTGCCTGAACTGAAATAATTTATTCATTCAAATCTCATTCTGAATTCTCTTATTTGAATGAAAAATTTTTTTATCAAGCATAAATGATGCCGTAAATTATAAAAATAAATAAAGAAAGAGAGAGAGAGAGAGAAAGGAAGAGAGAGGGAGAAAAAGAGAGAGGAAGAGAGAGGGAGAGAAAGGAGGAGAGAGAGAAAGGGAGAGAGAAAGAGAGAGAGGGAGAGAGATGGAGAGAGGGAGAGAGAGAATAGGCGATTCTTTTAGTCAGTTTTCAAGGATAAATTTGTGCATTTGCATAACGGAGGATATTTTTAACGCCTTAAGCCACTTTTCGGCAGTAACCGGAAGATCGGGAAAAGGAGAAGAGGGAAAGAGTAATGCGTTACTCCCAAGAGAGGCATTGTCCAACATTTTTCAATCAACCCAAAAACTCTCTGTTTTAATATCATCTGTTAATTTGAGAGTGAAATGATCTGGCTGAAATATTTCGTGATAGGGAACGACTGGCTCATTTATGCTAACTACGTTTTAAGACGAAATATTTATTTTTGAAATCAAGAAAGAAATAGCCATAATTAATGAAGGGAAAGCGGGGGGAGGAAAGGAGAGAGAGAGCTCAAAAATGAGTGTTGAATTTTTGGTGGAGATGAAAGAGATGAATAAAATGGCAATTCTTTTTCTTCTTTCCACTCATTCATTCTCTCTTTATCCTTTTAATAATTTAACTTTATATTATCATATTTGGAAAAGAATTGTTAAAAAAAAATTTTTTTTTGTTTCAGCTCAACGAATGAAAAGTTGAGAATAAGATTTATTCCTTTCTTCATTTCAAAAATAAATATTTCGTCTTAAAAGATATTTTCCTCATCAAAAATATCATTTAATTTAATGCAACCGAACAATTGTTTGTTTGTCCCTTTTCTTGTAGAGATGGGAAATTTCAAATTTAACTTCTTTATATTTTCCGGTCAATTTTTCATCAGAAATGAAAAATGAAGTGCTGCAGTTGGATTAGTAACGATGAAATGATTAAAATTTGACATCGTTTAGTTACTTTATTTTTACCTTTAGTGATTTTCATTCAAATATTTTAGCTAATTCAACTTTCTTGTGAAAATTTTTCTCTTGTAAATTTTACTAATGCATTTAAATTCACCTATTTATACTCTTTAGATTTAATCTATAAATTTGATCCATTAAGTGATTTCTGAACTATACCTTATTAATTGAAGTATTTTTTTAAAGAAAAATGATGAAGCAGCATTAATGTTGAAAAACTTATAAATCTGTCTGCTGATAGCATTTAAAATATGAATCATTGCCAACGGCAGAATTTCATTTTTTGAAAATGCCTTATCCATACACTGTCTATCTTTGTATCTGATCCAAATATAATACTAATTTCTTGATTAGTCTCTTCTTCTCTCTCCCTCTTTCCCTTTCTCTTTTCCTCCCTCCCTTGTATTAAGGAATATTTTTGGTAGTTTTGTTGTTTTAAGATCACATCTCAATTAAATAATATTAACAATCAATGAGAAAGGATGACTTTGTAGGATGACTTCGCTCACATTTGATAATTTCAGTGGCAGTTTTTGTCACAAATTTACTAATGCATTTAAATTCACCTATTTGTACTTTTTAAATTTAATCTATAAATTTGATCTATATCCCTTTTGGATAGAAAAAAAAGAGAAAGAAAGAAAAAAAAACAATTTTATATAATGCATCAATAATTAATCATTGCGTAATGAGAATGTGACAATGCTATCTCAAGCTGAAATAAATTAATTTTGGCCATAATTGAAGATAGGAAAGGAAATAAAATATGTATGAAAAAATAAAATAGGAGGAAAAAATGCCACAAGCTATTAATATGGATCAGAAATCAGTGAGAAATAAGAAATATATTTAAATTCAATAAGTTTATTTCAGTTATAACATTCAGATTAATCAGATAACTAATTGGTTCAAATTCAGTTAGAAATTAGTAATCTCAGAGGTGATAAAGCAATCTAAAACAACACAATCAGCAAATGTTTGCTTTTTGATTGACTTCTCAAAATTTAGATAAAAAATTTTTCAAAAATTCAAAATTTTAAAATTTTGATATGAAACATATGAAGGATAAGTACATTACTTTTAATATTCTATACTATTCAAATCAAATTTCTTAATGCTTAAAGTAAGTAAGCGATGAAATGAATAGCCTCTTCAAAGTATATTTTTGTAGAGAACTAATAGCATTTTCAACAAAATAATATCTTTATTTTAAAAAATTTCTATGAAATTACCTTGTTTGCTTTATCCTAAACTAAAGAATTTCAAAGTTTCAAAAAAAAAACTTTCGTAATAAGCAAATGTAGAAATTTGTTGCAATGAAGCGGATAAGGTAATCGTAATAATTTAATTAGTTATTATAGTAATTTAATCAATATTGTGTCATTTTCTCAAATTATGTAAATATATAGAAATTGTCATTGAGCAAAAGAAAAAAAAAGGATTTTTGATGTTTTTGACTGCTTCTATTATGTTTGAAATATTATTGATGAATATTGTTTGAGAGAGAAAGAAAAGATTTCAGAAGTATCGTCTCCTTCTTTCTCTTCATTTTCTTTCTTTCAAAAATGAAATGAATGAAAGCCATGTCTTAAGGCTTCAAATATAAGTAATCCTAATAAAAGACTAACTTCCTTTTTATTTATTTGTTTGTTTGTTTGTATGTTTTGTTTGTATGTTTTGTTTGTATGTTTTCTTTGTATGTTTTCTTTGTATGTTTTGTTTGTATGTTTTGTTTGTATGTTTTCTTTGTATGTTTTCTTTGTATGTTTTGTTTGTATGTTTTGTTTGTATGTTTTGTTTG